GCCACCAAAAAGCTTTTCGCTGGGCGGAATGCTGCAATCGGAGCTGCGTTTAACTTAGGTCGCTGTGTCCAGGAATGGATTTATGGTGACCTGATTTTGACACTGGAGTGGTGATCAGCGGAGGAGGCAGCCTGGTCTCAGGCAGTCGCGAAAGGAATGAAGTAGACGCCTGAGAGAAAAAGTCTGGAAGGGGGTCTGACCTACAGCCACTGCCGGCAGAAGGAGCTTGAGGGATGCGGAGGAGACGAAGGCCATCGCGACCCTTGGCACTAGCGGGCAAAGCTCAGTGCCGAGACCTAGGATTGGGGGTCGCGGCACGAGATGAAGCTCTGGGAGGACTCGCCGCCGTGTGAATCTGAATGCCCGGAAGACGGAAGGCGGAGAAGGTGCGGTGCAGACGCCCGCAGCAGCGTCCGGGCGGTGCTAACGGCGCCAGTGCTCAGCGCGCACCCAGCGGCCCTGCCTGCGCCGGGCACCCGGGGACGGCCTCCGCCCTCCCCGCCGGCGCGGGCGCGATGCGAGCCCCCGCGGTCCCTGCAGCGCCGCCCGCGCCCCGGCCGAGGTGAGCCGCGGGGCCTGGTCCGCCCCACCGCAGGAAAGGCTCCCGCCGCGCCCCCTCGCTCCCCGGCGCGCCAGCCCGAGCCCAGGCTGCTCCGGCACGAGGCAGGTGCGCGTCCTTGCTCGTCGATCGAAAGCCCGGGACAGAGCGCGGGGAACCGCTCCGCACACAGCTCGAGGACGCCGTGGGCTGGCGCTCCGGGCCTCGGCACCCGTCATTCTAGAGATTTTGGCGGGGAGGAAGGAAAAAGCAACATGTATAATTTACTGCTCCTCTTTGAGCTGGGGGGAAGGCAAGTGTTGGTCCTCTTCAAGGTTATTTTTGGTTTGGTTTATGCCTTTTTGTCTGCGCTTTTCTGTTCGGTTGATATCACGTTTCCTTTTGTTACAACCTATTCAATTTGTTTTGGTATGTTGTAGCTATTACACAATCTAAGTCCACATTTGTAAATGTATAATTCTTCAAACAGTAACTATTGAACGGTAAATCAATTTTTCTGTCAAATGTTATCACCAAGCTAATAACACTTTCCATGACTAGTTTACTCGGGAGATTCTGTTCTGTTCTGATGCTGATTCCTGAGCTAAATTCTAGGATTTATATTTCTGTTGAATATTCCACAGTATCCTGGACTGTGTTGGACACATAGTAGACTTTGAATATGTTGTTGATAATCCATCACTTTTTTAACGCAAGGAGGAACCAGTATCTCCCTTCTCCTTCCTCTTGTAGCTCATCCCGGTGCCCTGTGACCTTCATCCCCTCTCATGGGCCTTGTCATCCTAACTAGTAAGTAATTAACTCCAGTTTCTCTTCATGACAGGCTAGCAAACCCCCTCTTCCGTGAAATGCTGAAGTCTCATCCTTAGTATCGCTCACATAAATGTCAAGGCCTGCCTTTCAGACTCCTCATGTCCATCTTTTGTGACCCGCCAGAGATTTTTCATTCTTTTCCTTCCACCCTTTTCCTATGTTCTTGTCAGAAACAGAATATTGTAATGAAAGATGCCATTTAAAAAAAAACTGTATTATGGAAACTATCAACTATATACAGATAACATCAAACATCTAGGCAGCATTCAAATTTCCAAATGTTTCCTGCTATATTTTTGTTTTAGTGTGTTTGAATCAGGATCCAAATAAGCTCCACACACTGTAATTGGTTACTATGTCTCAAGTACACCATAGGTTCTCTCGCCATCTGGACTTCATCTCAGTCTACGTATCACTTATTGTGGCTAAATTATTTTTTATGGCTTTTCTCCTGGTGAAATGTGGGACCCACTAATGATACTCAGATTTAGAGGAATTTTGCATCTGTCATGCCATTAAAGCCTGGCCTTTTGGTTTGGAATCAGGAAGTGAAAAAAGACCAGACAAATACATGTCTCTTTAAGTATGCTTTCATTTAAGGGGATCCTTGAAGTACTTTATGAGACACATACGCACACACATATGTGCACACATGGATTTACCAAGAGAAGCCAGGTTAAAATCTTTACATTTCTGGGAAGGGAAAGATGTGCTAATCTTCAGGCTAATCTGTTACAGATGCTCCTTGACTTAATTAGGTCGACTTTATTAGATTACATCCTAATAAACCCAATGTAAATTGAAAATATAAGTCAAAAGTGTGTTTTCAATTTAAGGGTGTTTTCAATTTACAATGGGTTTATCTGGACATAACCACATCGTAAGTCGAGGTGTGTACTGAATGTGGATGGCTTTTGCACCATCATAAAGTTGAAAAGCCCTAAGTAGAACCATTGCAAGTCAGGGACCATCCATATTTGCTTGCTCTCCCTTCTTAAATTAGCTTTCCTTCTCCTCAATATGTACTTTTCCCCTCTTATCATTGCACATTTTCTCTCTAGTCCCAAGAGTGGGCTTTCACGCTATTACTCCTTACAGTTTTCTGTCAATGCTCTAATGCCAAAGGCTGGCTGACCAAACAACGAAGATGCTGTAGAAACGGTTTGGGATATTAGATAGAAGGTGGACCTAGAGTTGACCTCTCTGGTCACCTTCAGCTCTAGGATGGCATGTAAATCAAGAAACACCTGATGTTGGGAAAGAAACTGAAAGGCAGAAGACTCACTATCTTCTTCCATCAGACTGCTGTTGGTGAAGAGTCAGCTGAGAGTGGCTTAAAATAATTGCACATTGATTTTCAACCTTATTAGATGTCTAAACCCAGTTCTCTTTGCAGATGTACACACTATAGTGATAAGATAGGCACCTACTGAATACTAACAAAAAAGTGCTATCTCAGTTACCAACTAAGCAAGTAAGTCCAATGTGACTAGGCTACCACATTCTCAGCACCAACTTCTAAACTTTTAATGTTTTAACACAGAAACTATGGAATAAATGCATCTCCAGAATTTCAATTCCCCCTCAAGAAAGGTTCTTCTATTCCTAGTGAAGGAAACTTTTCTTGCAACCTAGGCTTCCTCTGTAATTATTACAAATATCAAGTGAGATTGTATCTGGGCACACAAATATAAGATACCTGTTATGTGAACCCAAGTTTTGTGGAAAATTTGATGCTTGAAACGAGGAAAATAAGTTATGCTATTTATCATTTATTTTAAGAATAAATGTGGCTGGGAAGAAACCTCATGATCTGGTGATGTTTCTAATTAGTTTTCAATCCAATACTAAAAATAAAAATTAGTAACTGACTCAGTTGAGCAATAGTAATTGAAAAAACACACAGTATTTTAGATGTAAATGTTTCTAAAAGAATTTGCACATTGAAGTTAATAAACTTGTTTTTCTTCTTTTTTCCTGATATACTACATGCAGATACATCTTGGAAGACCTATCACTGTGGAGATGTCTGCAAATAGTGTAGTGATGGTTTTGCAGCTCTATGTTCTGCTAGCAGCTCTATCAACAACACAGCATTTCATCTCTCAGGGACATGACAACAATTTTGCTCAAAGTCTTCAAAGAATAAAAAGGTTGTACTGTGCTGTAATTCTGTCTTATTCCTTTCACCCTTGAAAAAATTAGCTACCATCCTTCAGAGGAGATCTTTACCCATCATTTTAAATAATATTTTGGGATTTCAGGGCAGAAAATAATGTGATTAATCAATATAGTGGCTTTTGACAAAAGACAGGTATAAAATGACATGTGCACATTTTATCATTGATGTTGAAAAGTAAAGTCCTGAAATAGAAATCCCCTAGAACAGTGATACACAATCACTTGTAAATATCTGAAAAAAATTAATCCAAGAGCAGTATGCATTTTCCTTTTGCAGTAGAAGTTCTATAATTAAATCATCCCCCCTTATCATTTTCTTGGGGTGGAGAGGGGTAGAGGAAGGTGACTCAATAAATTATAACACTACATCTACTTATTGAGATTAGTATAATAATTTCAACAATATTTTAGTGATTTTCATACTTATTAATAGATTTAAGAACAAACCTGAACTCTTAAAATCTTATTAAAAACTGGCTTTCGCCACTGATAAGCAAATGGAGGCCAACAATTTTGGAGAAAAATAAGGTCTTAGTAACCTTAGGTGACAGCTGTAATTTCTGAAAAATATTTACTTTTTAGCTTTATCTCAAGGAAAATGAAGAAGATGAGATAATAGAAAAGTGATCTCAGTTTGTTCTTTGTCCACTTTCTTTCAGCTGTCATTACCCTATGTATTTGGAAAATCAACTATGATATTCAGAAGAAAGGAATATTCAAACTTCTATGTACCTGAATATAGAAGATTTATTTTAGCATACGTAAATCTTACTTCTAGCTCCTTATCAGCATATACTTAACTCTTGGGAGAAAGAAATCACTGAGTTACTACTGCTATTTAAGACAGACATCGTGTTTCACATCAGGACTGAGGTGGAGAATGTGGTCAGCTTTTTAGCCTCCCTAAATCTGAATTTTACCCTGAAACTTCATTATTTCATTTGCAGTTTTATGAACTCCAGGGACAGGAGAAAACCATATTAAAATATTATTATAAAATCACATTTCAATGCTGGATATTGGTATATAGGGCTTTAGAATTCTTTTTACTATTAGAATTCACCAATTTTGACTGCATAGAAAGAAAACTCCAAAGTGTTCCAGAGGTGACTGATTGACCCATAAAGCATATTTCACTTCACAAAAACTGTGATCCTGAAATTTTTTTCTAAACATTTTATCCAACTTATATTCATTTCAAACATGTACAAAATTAGAAAAGGATCATTTGTAGAAAAATGAAATTGGCTGTAAGGAATAACACAATTATAATAGAACGTAGGAAAGTGTCATATAGCCAGATTGTACTTTTCTGATTAACAGATTATATTCTTATGATAAAATAATAAAATAGAAACAGAAAGTGAACATAAGTATTCTATGGGACTATATTCAAAGATTTACAGATTTTGGAGAGAAACAGTTTATCTACTATACAACTTATATATTCAGGACAAAAGCAAACATTATAAAAGTATAAAAATAGATAAAAAGATGCAAATACAATATATTTTGGTTGGAATTTCAAAGATGCTTTTTTTTTTTCTCTTTCCCCTTTACTTCGAAAGTTATAAATACTTTTGAAGCAGCATGTATTGTTGCACTTTTGATTTTTTGTTGTACAGTTAATGAACTCGAGAGTTTGGATGACTGGTGATCATCTATTTGGCCTTCCCATTCCTTTGTTTCTTCTTCTTTGATTAGTAAAGGTTTTCCTAGGGTTTGGCCGACAAGGTTACAGACTTCTTGAGCTTTGCGGCATGCATTCTCAACAGCAGCAAGGCAGGCCTGCCGTCTTAGGAATTAAATGCAGAGAGTATTAATATGACATTCAATGCTGTGGCAATGAATAGTTTTGTTTAAAGAATTGGTAACTTAGTTAAAGATGTGGTTAAACTTACCGAAGAGTCTCAACAGAACCTGGAGTATGATAGAACTGGGGTGGGCTGATGACAACAGAGCTATCTAGCTTTTCAACAAGAAAGTTACAAATATTTTGCATTTTTCCAAATTCAGTAAATGTAATGCAGACCTGTAAATGAAATGACACTTGATATTATTTTCGCATTTGATGTATTGTTTCAAAATTTTCTCTAAATGTGAGTAAAAAAAACCAGATTACGAGTATATATCGTTTTAGTATGTAACAGATTTTTTTAAAAAGCCTATTTGATAATTATAACTACATTAATATTTTGTTATTAAAGCTAATATTTTTGCTTATGAATTTTTAAATTTATCTAATATTGACTGGAACATTTTAAAATTCATTTTAAACCAGAGACTTTTTATGATATTGGAGGATTACCCTTCAACTTTATTATTTGGCTAAATTCTAACCTTGATAACTTTTCATGACTCCTTAGTCTAATCTACACTGTTAGCTTCCTGATTAGCAGTAATTACATCATACTTCACTGCTGTCACTGAGGTATGTTTCTTCTTCCAGTAGTTATTTTGAGATCCATATGTGGGAAGCTAATCTATTTCACTGTGTCCTCTGCCTTTAAATATGTGGAAGCAGTCCTTATGTTTAGCAATACTTTAAAACTGTAGTCTTTAAACTTTTCATGAAAGAGGACTAAACCTTTCTTCTAAAGAACTCTTACACAAGCTCAATATGTAAAACAAAAAAGTACAGGTACTGGAGAGTAAGCTGGAGTAGCAAAGAGAAAGAAAGATGTGAGATGACTTCATCTTACACAATGCAGAACAGCTGCCTTTAATCATGAATGTTATTCACTGAAGACTGATGTTCTATCAGGTGAATGTTTTTCATTGAAGACTAATGTTCTATCAGGTTTCAATACTAAGTATCAGTCACAGCAACAGGGAAGGGAGCAAAGATTAAATTTATCACCTTAAATTACAAGATTGGGTTACTCTAAAGCATGCAATTTTCTCTTGTAGTGAGCCAGTTTCTACTTTCTATTGAAAATCTTTCAAAAAGTAATTTTGTAAAGAACAGTCCATTCTGCTTCCATTTCACTACCACTACTTCTTTTCTTAATCTCTTATCTGCTTTTATATTTAATATCCCAAGAAAGCTTATGAAGTTACCAATGATCTCCTTATCTTCTCTTATGCTTCTTAACATTTGCTTTTTCACACTGCCAACGCTTTATTCCTGCCTATTCCCCATTTCCCAAATCCCTAGCTCCTTTGGCTTCCAAGACATTATTTTCATGGTACTCCCTTGACCAATCTTTTCTCTTTTTTCTATAATTTCCATTTCATTCCCCTATCCTTTATCCCTGGGCATGCAATATTTGGATTCCTATTCTTGTGGATCTCTCCTACCATCATAGTTTCTTTTCAGCTTTTTAAACTTCTTAGTATGGGAATTTTCAAACACACACAGAAGTAGAGTTAACAGTATAAAGCCGCGGTCCCCAATCTCTGGGCCACGGACCTGTATCAGTCCATAGTCTGTTAGGAACCAGGCTGCACAGCAGGAGCTGAGTGGCAGGTGAGTGAGCAAGGGAAGCTTCATCTGTATTTACAGCTGTTCCCCATCACTCACATCACCACCTGGGCTCCGCCTCCTGTCAGATCAGTGGCAGCATTAGATTCTGCATTATGGTGAGTTGTATAATTATTTCATTACATATTACAATAATAGAAATAAAGTGCACAATAAATGTAATGTGCTTGAATCATCCCCAAACCATCCCCTCACGCCCCAGTCCATGGAAAAATTGTCTTCCATGAAACCGGTCCCTGGTGCCAAAAATGTTGGGGACCACTGGCATAAAGAATCCCAGATATCCATTGTCACTTCATGGCAATTTTTATTTTATTTTTTGCATTTTACACACTAAACACATTCTTATTTTGTGGTAGAGTTCTAGCAATTTAATTTAATTTTATCTAGGAGACAGGGTCTCCAGGGTGGCCTTGAACTCCTGGGCTCAAGTGATCCTCCTGCCTCAGCCCCCAGTGTAGCTGGGACTGTAGGTGTGTGCCACTACCAAGCCAGTTCTGTTAATTTTGAGAAATGTATAGAGCTCTGTAACAACCATAACAAATATTTAGACTTGTTCCATCACCCCTCAAAATTCCTTCAAGTAATCCCTTTACTATCAATTTCTTTCCCAACTTCAAAACCCTGGCAATGATTAATCTGTTCTCCATTGCTACAGATTTGTCTTTGTCAGAATGTCATATAAATGGAAACACACAGTATATAGCCTTTTGAGACTCACTTCTTTACTAAGCATAATGCATCTGCAATTCATCCATGTTGTTGCATAATAGTTTGTTCCTCTTATGCTGAGTAGTATTCTGCTATGTGGATGTAACCACAGTTGGAAAAACATTTAGATTGCTTTCAGTTTGGGGCTATTATGAATAAAGATTTATCAAGACTTGTTTTACGATCCAGAATATAGTCTATCTTGGCAAATGTTCCATGTGCACTTGAAAGGAATGTGTAGGAAGATGTTTTTAGATTGAGTGTTCTATATATATCAAGCAGGTCAAATTGGTTAAAAGTGTTATTCAAATATTATATTCTTGCTGATTTTGTCTACTGGTTTTATTAATTATTGAAAAGAGGGTATTGAAATCTTCCACTAAAACTGTAGACTTAATTCTCTTTGCAGTTCTATCATTTTTGCCTGAAGTATTTTTAACCTTTGTTATTAGGTATTTAAGTATTTAGGATTGTATGCCCTATTGATTAATGGACTCATTTATCATTATGAAATGATGTTTTTTATCTGTGATAATATTCTTTGCTCTGAAATCTACTTTGTCTGATATTATTATAGCCACTTCAGCTTTCTTTTGATTCATGTTAGCATGGCATATCTTTTTTTATCCCATTACTCTTACTAATTTATGCCTTCATACTTAAAGTACACTACTCTCAGGAAGCATAAAGGTGGAGTTTACTTTTTTATACAATCTAAAATATCTGCCTTTTAATAAAGGTATTTAGACCATTCACATTAAATGTGATTGTTGACATGGTTAATTTAACCCTGTGATCTTGCTGTTTATTTTCTATTTGTTTCTTCTTTGTTCCCCCTTTTCTCATTTTATATCTTCTTTTGTATTATATTTTTATTATTCTATTGTATATCCTTCATTGGCTTATTAGCTATAATTTGTTGTTATCATAGTATTTGCTTTATTATAGGATACATGTTTAACTTACCACAATCTACCTTAAAAAGATATCATACCATTTCTCATAAGAACTTTACAACATTGTACTTCTATATTTCCCTTCCTGACCCTTGTGCAATTGTTGTTATATATTTTTATATATGTTATGATCCCTATAGTTCATCGTTATCACTTTGTTTAAATAACTTTTTGTGTAAATATGGAGAGTTTTAAAGAGATTTATATAAGAAAAATATCATATATTAACCCACATAGTTACCATTTTCAGTACTCTTTATTCCTTTGTGTAAAGTCGTATTTCTTTCTGGTATCATTTCCTTCGGCCTAAATGATGTCACTTAAATTTCTCATAGTGCAGGTCTACAAGTAATGAATCTTTCAGCTTACTGAAAAGGTCTTTAATTGGCCGTTGTTTTTGAATACTATTTTTGCTGGATATAGAATTCTAGGTTTATAGGTTTTTTTTTTCCCTTTCAGTACTTTAAAGATGTTGCTCCCCTGTCTCCTCCCTTGCATTATTTTCAACAAGAAATCTGTTGTCTTGTTTTTGTTCCTTTGTACATAACATGTCTTTTTCCTCTGGCTGTTTTAAGATTTATTACTGGTTTTGAGCAATGTGATTATAGTGTGCATTAGTATATTTTTTTGTATTTCGAACCAACCAAAAACTGACACAGATGTCAGAATTAAAAGACAAGGTCATTTAAAGTTATTATAACTGTAATTCACATGCTCAAAAGTTAAGTAGACACATGGAATATTAATATAAAAAGACTCAACGGAACTTCTAGAGATGAAAACTACAATGTATGAGATAAAAAAATACACTGAATAGAATTAACAGGAAATTAGACATTAAACAAGACAAGCTTAGTAAACCTGAAAACACAGCAATAAGAACTATCTAAAATAAAACACAAAAAAAGACATACAAATGAACCAGTGAGCTGTGGAACAATTTCAAGTAGCCTAATAGACATATAATTGGAGTCCCAAATGGAGAGGAGAATAGGGGACAAGAAAAATATGTGGAGAAATAATGACCAAAAAGTTTCCAAACTTGATGAGAATTATAAATCCACAGATACAGAAAGTTCAGCTAACCCTAAGCACACTTAACACGAGACCTACCCTCTTAACAAATTTTTCAGTGTACAGCATTGTGCTAACACAGGCACTATGTTGTATAGCAGGCATCTAAAACTTATTCATTTGGATAACTGTAACTTTATACCCACAGAATAAATTGTGTGGGTTCTGGCCCACGGAGCCCTATACAAAATATAATCAGATCCTCTTTTAAGAAATTTGAATATAAAACATTAAAAAGGTAAGTAAAGCAGAAGAAAGAGGAACAGACTTTAGCCAAATCCTCATTTAGTCATGTTTTAAAACAAGCAGCTCTAATGCTCTCTTCTGCACCTGGAAGGTCAGTCCCTAGAACAACTCAGTGATCTGAATAACATTCGTTTTCCATGAAGCTTGGCTATGTCGTTGCTGGGGCTGTTTCCTTTTCCTCTTTACTCCTTGTGTATCCTCAGAATAAACCTCCTCAACTAAGATGATCTGCTTCTATCTATGTTCATTACAATCTGAAGTCTAAACAGGTAATAACTACTGAAGGAGTACTATAACATACTCCCAGCTTTTAACCTCTATAATTTGGAATCTTACAAGACTGCACTTCATCTTGTTTTGAAAGGTGTTTTTCAGTCCTCAGTACTACAAAGGAACTTTTGCCAAATGGTCTCTAAAATCATAATGAGTACTTAAAAAAATCCTTGAGATAATTTAATTTTAAGTTGAAAAAATCACAAAATGATTAAAGTCTGCACTGGGGCAACAAACAAACATTGTGGAAATCACTATTTCAAGAGATAAGAATCTAGGGTTCCAATTTTCATTCTAATTCTTGATATATGACCTTTGAGAATTCTGGGCCTGTGTTATTTGAACCTAAGATCACTCCCTTAAAACCAGAAAAATAATATATGCTTGTAGACAGGATCAGGTGATTTCTGGAGGTATTTTCTACCTCTAAAGACAGAGATTCTCTCATTCAACAAACAAGATTCAACTATAACACACTCTTCCTTGTTTCCTGGGACAAAGAGGGAGCATGGATTAAGTACATACCCCAAAATGTTTGGAATCAGAAATGGATAGCAGTCCTGCAATCCAACCACAACTAGAACATACTCTAATTTCATAAAATCCCGATCATCAAATCTTTAAAGATAAATAAAAGTAGGAACTAAATGTTATTAATTGGGTGTACTGAAAATAGTTTTGTTCTTTTTAATTTGTGTAAAGGTTGAGTGGTTTTTATTAAATAATACTTACCACAACACAGTAAAATTACACTACCAAACAAAAGAATGTTGAAAAATGTTTCAATCTTTCATGTTACCACTTTATCCATTTGCTTTTTATCTGTAAAGAAATTTCTCTCCTCTAGTGTTTCCTACTTACTAGGTGATATTACTAAATTTTATTCAGGTGGCAATTAACTATTTCCCACTTGCTATTTTTATTCAATTTAAATAATTTCTCTTAAATTAATCTCATTAATTTTAAAAGCTCAAACAGATATATAACACCACAACGATTTTTAGAAAAATAATCCTTTATCAATATCAAGAGAAGCATTTCTCCTGTTCATTTCAGTTCAAGAATAAAAATAAACGACAAATCATCCCCACAGAGTCATGCTGGTTCCAATTATTTAAGTCTATACCTCTGCTTCCATATGATAAGCATTTTCCACTCTTCTAAAATCCTTTGTCACAGTCACATTTTCTGCCTGAAACAGAAAGTCCAAGAGTGATTACTAGATGTTTGACACTAAATGCAACTACTGTATGACATAAATTAGAAACCTGAAATTATTAAAATCAGGAAGATAGAAAGTATGAAAAAAGAACTGCTTTGCCTAATGTTTTAAAACTTTCCTAAAAGTGACATAAAATAATCAGAAACCTACAAATAGCTGCTTAAAATTTCATGGTAATTGTCACTCCATTTAATTTTCACATTAGCGTATAAAGAAAGTATGGATTTAGGGTGATATATATGAGCAATTATTTGTACATAGAGCATACTTGAGTTTGAGTTTTTAAGATGTTTAATTATAAATAATTTAATATAAATTTACTGTGTACCTATCACATGGAACTTTGGGCAAGTTACTCAGTTTTCTGAGCCTCAGTTTCCACATTTATAAAAGAAGGTAGAATATAGAACTATGTGCACCATATAGAACTGTTTTGAGCATTTAATGAGAAGTTGTATATAAAGGACTTGGCATAGAGAAGGCACTCAGCAAAGTAGATGCTGTACTATTATGATATAAATGTTCCTTGAAAATACTGGATCTGAGCCAGTTTGTTTTTAGAAAAGTAATATTAATACTTTTTAATTCTCAGGGTAAATACAGGGTACATAATTCTGATAAAGTTAAATTTCTTATTTACTTTTGAAAAGGGTTTTTGAATTCGGTGAAACTCAGTGAAATTCAGTTGTCAGCTACTCTCATCCTTGGGAATAAGTAAAACTTATATTTTATATAATTTTTTTGTATCTCAAAATATATGCTTAATAAATATATAATGATTTTATGCCAAACAATAATTTAATTATAAGCTATTTTGCAGGGGATATGGCTGCATCTAAATTTTAAGATATAAACTAATTATAGGTAGCTTATGCTATCCAGAAAATTTCTAAAAAGCTTTAACCTGAGTATTTGAAGTTCCAGTTATAGATCTGATGTGTCACTCCCATGAAAATATTAATGCCATTTTTATTATAAAGGTAATACCTGCACATTAGAGAAAATTTAGAATACAGATAAGTACAAAACAGTACCGTAGCCTCCCCTTATCCACAGGGGCTATGTTCCAAGAGCCCCAGTGGATGCCGGAAACCATGGACAGTACCAAACCATGTATATACTGTGTGTTTTTGCTCAGATAACTGAGACAGTTACTAAGTAACTAATGTGCAGTTAGAATATACAGCATGGATATGCTGGACAAAACGATGATTCACATCTCAGGTAGGATGGAGCAGGATGCTGCAAGATTTCATGGTGTTACCCAGAATGGTGTGCAATTTAAAAGCATGAATTATTTCTGGAATTTTCCATTTAATATTTTTAGACTGAGGTTGACTGCAGGTAACTAAACTGTGGATAAGGGGGGACTACTGTTCTGTATATAGTGCTTGTAATCAGCTTTTTTCACTTGAGTAACAAGAAACTTTTCTGTTATCTACTATTCTTTAATGGCATGTAAACATATTTCTTCCTTTTTTTGGATATCTCTTTTTTCAATTTTTTCCCCTCACTTTACTTGATAAACACATATAAAACTTCTGAAAAAAAAATTACTAGAGAAATAATTTTAGAAAGGTAGTTGGAAAGAAAAGTATCCTTTATTGCTTTTTGTTTTTAATAGTTTTTTTTAAAATAAAAATAACACATATTAAAGAAAATCTAATATTAGAGAAAAGAACAAGAAAGTAATTATGTCTGCAAGCCCTATTGCTGTTAATATTTTAGTAAACATTTTACTAAACCATCTATCAATACATAAAAACATATCTAGATTTTTGCACAGACTTTTTCATAAAATTATATTCTATATACTGTTCTGAACTTTTTAAAATAAACTTTTGGAATAATTTTAAATTTATAAAAAAGTTACCAAGATAGTATAGAGTTCCCACATACCTCAGTTTCAGACTTCTTTGATATTATTATCTTATATTACTGTAGTAAATTTTTCAAAACTAAAAAGCCAACATTGGTCCATTACCATAAACTAAACTCCAAACTTTATTTGGATTTCACCAGTTTTTCCATTAATGTCCTTTTTACTACCTAGGATCAAATCCATGATACTGCATTGCATTAATTCATCATGTCTCCTTAGTCTTCTCTGGTCTTGATGATTTCTCAGTCTTCTCTTATTTTTCATGACACTGAAAGTTTTGGTCATGTATTTTGAAGAACATCCCTCACTTTGGGTTTTTTTGACATTTTGTTATGATTAGACTGTGGTTATAAGTTTTAGGAAAGAATACCACAGGTGAAATACCTTTGTCATCACAACACATCATGCAGTACATGATATCCACATGACATTACTCATGATGTTAACGTTGGTCACTTGGTTAAGGTAGTGTTTGTCAGGTTCCTCCACTATAAAGTTACTATTTTTCCCTTTCCATGTTTTATTAATTAGCGGCAAGTGACTAAGTATGGTCCACACTCACTCAATATATACTACTTTATTTTGTTGCTCAAATTGTTTTAGCTTTGGCCTTTGGGATTTCTTTCAGGTTAGCTCTTTTATCCCTTTGACATACCCCCATCCTTTATTTTTTGAGCACTTCTTTACTTTCTGGTATAAGATGCTACAGGCTTATGTAGTTTCCCTGCCCTGCCCTAGAATCAATCATTTCTCCAAGAAGCACAGTACCTTTTCTTTGAGATTGGTATTTAGAACAGGATCTGAATGTTGAGACTGCTCACTGCTACTGGGATGTCATTCCTTCTATTAGTCCTTCTCAGTGGACAGAGCTAGGTCTTACACACACACACACACACACACACACACACACACACACACACACATATTTTATACATATATATATATATACACATATTTTATATATACACATATATAGTATATATAAAATACCAATGTACATATACATATACATTATTTCTGTAGCTTTCCACCTATATATAAACAAAGCTAAACATGATTTCACACTGATGTTTCCAACTCTAATTCAGAATCACAGAATTCACTCTAACCTTCACTTCCTATCTGTAACTTCCCTCTCCAGTAGTGAGAAACCTGGCTCCCACCATCCATTATCCACTTACTTATTTGTTCAATCCCAGTATACATGTAAAGTGGTTTCAGAATTAACTAGTACCCCCTTGCAAAACAAATTTACCAATTGGAGTATAGGGTTTATGTAGCTTTCATTTTTATCCTTACAGCCTCCAGTCAAAACATCATTATCTAGTTACTTAGGACACTCCTTCCCTGTCCCCTTCAGTGCAGTTATGTAACTCATTTGGGGTAGACTTGGGTTCATTTGTTGCACTCTAAATTCTATCCTGGGATTGATCCTCTGATAGCCTCTTTAATGCCTTTTTTCTCAGTTTGCATACATTAGTGTTTATTTTTTGTGATTTTACAGCTCTATGGGCTTTGAAAAATGTATACATTCATGCACCCGCAATCCCAGTACCACAGAGAATAGTTGTTTCACCTGAAAAGTTCCTCCATGCATACCCAATAGTCAACCACTCTCCCCTCCAATAACCCGTCAACCCTGATCTGTTTTCAGTCCCCATAGTTTTGCCTTTTCCAGAATATCATATGAATGGAGTCATAAAATATAAACCACTTGGGTCTGGCTTCTTTCACTTAGTAATATGCATCTAAGATTCACTCATGTTGTTCTGTTAATCAATTCTCATACCTTTTTATTGCTGAATAATAAATACTCTTTTGCACAGTTTGTTTATCCATTCCCCTGTAGAAAGACACCTTGGCTACTTACAGTTTTGGAAATTATGAATAAAGCTACTATAAATATTTGTGTGCAAATTTTTATATGAAATTAAGTTTTCAATTCACTTGGATAAATTACCCTGGAGTGCTGGTTTCCATGGTAAGTCGACTTTTAACTTTGTAAGAAACTGTAAGACTATCTTCCAAAGTGGCTGTATCATTTTGCAATCCCATCAGCAATGAATGAGAATTCCTGTTGCTCTGCACCCTTCCCAACATTTGATATCATCAGTGTTATTGGATTTTAGCCATTCTAATAGGTACATAGTGGTGTCTTGTTGCATTGTGGTTTTAATTTCCATTTCTCTAATGACAAGTAATGTTGAACATTTTTTCATGTGTTTATTTGCCATCTGTATATATTCTTTGGTGGTCTGTTCAGATAATTTGTGTATTTTTTATTGAGCTGTTTGTTTTCTTATCGTTGCATTAAGAGTTTTATATTCTTGATACAAGTCCTTTATCAGATACATAATTTACAAATATTTTTTCCCAGTCTGTAGATTGCCTTTTCATTTTCTTAACAATGTCTTCATAAAGCAAGTTTTTAATTTTGATAAAGTACAACCTATCTGTCTATTTGTTTGTTTCATGGATTGTGCTTTTGGTAACAAAAGATGAGCATACCAAATCCAAAAACCTGAAATCTGAAATGCTCCAAAATCCAAAATTTTTTGAGCACCAAAATGATACTTGGATTTTTGGATTTGGGATACCCAACCTCTATATCTAAAAACTCATCTTCGATCCTAACGCCACTTAGATTTTCTTCCATACTTTCTTCTAGAATTTTTTGTTTTACCATTGGGAAAGGCAATCTCACACATACAGTCTTTTGACCCCCACTCAGTTGCCTAAGAATGGGCCTTGGCCCTGGAACACTTCCTTACCAAGAGATAAAATGTCCTCACAGCTTGTGCTGGGCTTGTTTTCTTGCATGGAATCTTTTCCCATTTTAGACTCAACATGTCCTTCTTTGTTCTGCTTAAGCATGTATCTTACGGCACCTGTCCAACCTCACTGCTATGTCTGTCCCCTGCAGGGAGGAGATAGGGTCCTTCTGTTGTAGCACAAGAGGCAGGCATACAGATCAACTTCCCTGCATTAGCTGCCAGGAGGGACCTGCTGGCCACAGAGGACTGATGCCTACTAATGAAATAGATCTTGCTCTGTCTCTTTTCTAAGTGAATAAAGTATTGTTCCATCC